GGATGGGGAAAGCCCGCCTCGCATTCCCCTCGGCGGCGGGGGCCGGGCGGATTTCCCTTCTCTCCCACCCCCCTGCCGAGCTCGGACCTTTTCGCACCCCGGCGGGTGCCAAATTTGAGCTCCTACCCTTGAAATGTATGTGGGTTTACATGTCTATGTATCTTTTTTTTTTTTTTTTTCCCTCTCTATGCATGCACGGGAGCACATGCACATAAACAACCACGTGTGCGTGTGTGTGTATTTTCTGTGGGCTATGGAAAAATAAAGCCCACCGCTATGGAAGAAAAGTAGGCATAAACACACCCATAAAAAGAAACTAAACTCCTATTTCTACGTTCTTAATTCTTAATGAAATGCACATGCCTTGCCTACCGATTTTTAAGCGCGCTTGATTTATGGAAGCCCGTCAGGTTTAATTCGGTTGGATGCTATTGATTAAACTAAATAGCCAGAGCTGCCTGTTCCTGTTCACAGGCGGGATATGTCTGCTGGTAGGTGACCAATAGCTTGTAAAAAAAAAATGCAGTGCTATCTGTTTTTTTTTTTTTTAAACAGGGGGGAGGAAGAAGTCGTAATAAATAAATAAATACACCCTTCTAATATAAGCGTAGTCATATTTTTCTCAAAACCGTAGGAAATTACTATCCTACAAAGTTTTCCTTCTATAAATAGTTCAAATCTTGAAACAAAAGTTTTAAACCGCACACCAGATGCTGGGATGCTGGCGGTTTCCCTTGCTGTGTGACATAATTATAAGGTCCGAAAGCAAAAGCTATAGAAGTATAATAATAATACTAAGGCGACTGCTGAGGGGAAATACAAGGGAAGCAATGCCCGCTTTATTTAGAGCGAACTGCTTGGGGATCTTTTGAGCGCTGCCCCGCGACAATGGGAAGTTGTTGCGGATAAATAATGCTCCCTCGCCTTTCCCTGTGCCATCCCCAGTTCATCCCCTCAGCGGCAGGTCACTCGGAGCTGGACCCGCGGAGCCGGAGCCGAGGTGGCTATTGCAGTCCAGCAGAGCAGAAGGGAAAGGGATCAGGAGGTGAAACCCAACAAAGCGGAGCCCCAAAGCAACGCGCACCTCCCTCCATCCATCACTCCGGAGCGACGGAGCCGGCTGCCTCCCCGGGGAGATAGCAGCGCGCCCGGGGCCGGCGGGGAGAGGCTGCTCAC